TCTGAATCACTTGAAAAAAACACGGGGGTGCTTAACTTTTTTCCAGGTGTATATATATAACGCTAAAATGAGGGGCTCAATTCCCCTCGTTGAACACAGCAGATAGCCCGATGTAGCTTTGCTATTAAAACACATACACAATAAAGCTTAACATAAAGGATTTGGTTGTAATTAAACACAAAGCGACACAATGAGCTACCTGTGATCTGCCCACCACGGGTATCGAAACCCGGTTTCTAGCGTTGTAAGTCTACAGAGATACCGGTGTGCCACGTGGGGGGGGGGCTAACACAAAGGAAAATGTTTTACTACTATTTAAGAGAAAGGTAATTAATCTATAGGTTTAAAAGTAAGATTTTTATTCTATAAAGATTATGATTTTGCTGTCAGTGACTGCATGGTCACCGATTAGTTTAAAAGTAGAATTTTTATTCCATGATGGTTATATGTTTACTGTCAGTGACTAATCTCCGACAAGTTTAAAAGTAATATTAAGAGTAAAAAAAATAAAACGAAGTTTCTTAGCACAATGAAAGATAAAATCTTTATTAAATATTTCAGCCGATTGGTTTTAATAATACAGTTACCATCATCAGGGCTGAAAATAATCTGATGAAATATCTAATAAAGAGTTTATCTTTCATTGTGCCAAAAAACGTCGTTTTTATTTTTTATTCTTAATAAAATAGCACAATGTGCCTGAAAATACATTATTTTAAAGGTAATATGTTTATTCCATAAAGGTTATATTTTTGCTGTTAGTGACTGGTCTCCGATATACTTAAATGTAAAACTTTTATCTCATGAAGGTTATTATGGTGTGAACACCTTTCAGAAGAAGGCGAAGCATAATATAATATATCATATTTGTCATTATACACTCTTCTAATTGTTGAAAGTCCGTAATGAATGTAGTGTTAAATATATAATAGGCCTAACATGACTTCTTATGATAAATATCACGAATATTACATTTATTTTTGTTAGTGATTAATCTCTAATGAGTTTAAAAAATGAGATTTTGCAGCACGTGGATGATGTTTCTACTTTCAAGAGCAAAAATAGTAATCGCAGTTAGCTTCTGTTGGGTTTGGAAATCAGTATTTTTAAATGGTCTAATAAAAGACAATTAATTGATATCAGACGAAATGAAAGGATGTTTTCCAGTCATCATGAGTTCAAGTAATATAAAATGTTGATTGGTTCACATCTACAGTGTCAGTAAGTGAAAACACACCTCATTTGGATCTATCCCATTATTCAGCGCCCATGTGGTCTGGAAGTAATCCAACATTCTTTGTCGCAGCTCCTTGGAAATCTGATGAAGTCTAAAGAAATCTTTCAGATCCCGTAGTTTTGTTTGGTACTGAGATCGCCGCGAGTACATCCGCTGGATAATAGCAGTCACGTTTCCAAACACAACAGCATGCATTAAAGCTAGAAGATGTGAAAGATACATATGGGTAGCTGAAATAATATCTAACTTGAAAACGGACATTAAGAATGACACAAAACTTCATCAGTAGAACAATACTGAAGATAAAACTTATGAATATATTAGGTAGAACAATATACAGTCATATAAATCTATATTAGATAGTAACTGGAATAATCACCATAATAAAAAACTAGGTAAGTTATAAATATAACATTACGATATGCAAAACATACTTTAGGAAAGTTAGAACATTAATAACCATAAACACCTACGTTAAGGATAAATATAATAATCCTAATTATGAAAAATGTGTATCAGGTATAAGTAGAATAATATTGAAAATAAAAATATATGTTAGAGATAGCTAAATTAACCCAAAACATAAAAACCTACATATCATTACCATTATAGGGAAAGAGAAAACTAATACTGCTTGGAAATAACCTTTAAATCTTACCATTAATCAACATGGTCATGATGGAGAATACTTCCTCTGCTTGGATGCCACTTTCAAATCTTAACTACGATCAGCATGGTAACAATAGAGAACATTTCCTCTGCTTAAGCGCCACCTTTAAATCTTACCTCTGATCAACTTGGTATCAATGGAGAAAACTTCTCTTTCTTGAGCGCCATTGTCAAATATGAGCTCTGATCAACATGATAAAGATAGAGAAAAGTTCCTCTGCATGAGCGCCACCTTTAAATCTTACCTCCGATCAGCATGGTAAGTATGGAAAATACTTTTTCTGCGTTAGTGTTAGCTGAAACATTTCCAAAGCCGACACTGGTTAGACTGCTCGTTGTGAAGTACAGGGCAGTAACGTAAGCTGTGGCGGTGTCCGTAAAGTTAACAATATCAACGCCGATTTTATCCGACAATTCGTGAAGCCAACCTGAATAAAACACATTAAAATGAAATAATTAAAAGATTTACAACTAAACGTATAAGTTAATAAAAATGATTTAATATTATAACAAGGTGAGTTAAAACTTCACTTTGGCACTGAATCAACTTTGTTATAAACTAAAAACATATGCCCCATTTTTTTGGGGGGGTGGGCCGGACATGATCTGTTGGTTAGAGTTCGTATCCCCTTGCCGGAAAAACTCACTCCGCACGTTGAGATCATGGGTGCCTTATGAGAGAGATTATCAAATCCCACTATACAATTAGAATAGCCCCAAAGTTGACACCGGGTGCTCTTAACTAGCAGTTTTCCTCTAGTCGATTAGTTCAAAACTAGGAAAGTTAGATAGCCCTTATGTAGCTTTGCCCAATTATTAGAAACAAATTAACCAATTTCTGGTTAACCGTAGTATAAATGTATCTGGTATTTCATCTAAGACCAGTGAATATGAAAACCTTATTCATCAGATACTTAGAATAAAAGAAAACACCGTTTTAATTTTTTTAGTAATTCTGTAAATCATATCTGTCTACTGTATTAACTTTTTGAAGTAATAAAATTTTGGTGTGCTGGAATGTGCAGGCTTTAATCATCTACAAGTAATCTTTTTATCCCGATACACCGAGAAAAAATGATTATACCAAGTCTAAAATTGAACAACTAGTGGTGCCATACAGTGAAGAACTGGCACTAACTGACTCAAATCTTTAATTGTGACTTTGAATGTGAGTGTATATATAGCATCATCAGAAACGCTTCCTGATGAATATACTAATCACTGCTTTCCAAAGCACTAAATGAGATTAATAACTCATTAATAATAAGAAGCGATGGATTAATCCAGCTTTAGAGTTTACTTAACTGTAGTGAATTAGCTGAAAATGGAGTGCTTGAAAACGATGCTAAATTAACTTTCTTTTGAGGCTAAACCGAAACTGGAGCTTGAGTGTGGTTAAACACGTTTCCTTTTCTTTTGCTGAAGCTTGAGCCAAATCGTTGGTTAAATAAACAACTTTTCTAAAGCTTATGCCGAAATATTGGTTAAATAAACACTTTTTTTTTCAGTTTAAACCTAAGCATTGGTTACATAAGCAGCTTTCTTAAAGCTTATGCCGATATATTGGTTAAATAGACAGTTTTTTTTGTGTGTGTGTTTTTTTGCGCAGAAATGTGCGTTAAATACGTTCTCTCATTAATGAAACATATAATTTTAACTGAAATAATCACAATGGCAATTATAATCGGCTAAGCATTTCAAATTAACTTAAAGTTTTATGCTGAAACTGGAGGAGACATTGGCTGGTTTAGTAAACCATAAAGTTTAGTGAGGTGTTTTTGTTACTAGACATGATGGTTCCATAAGTCTTTCATTTACATAATATCACGCGACGTTTATGTTAGACAAGCAAAATTAAACCGCCCTTTCTTGTTTAAATACACAGTTTCTCATGCTTAGATACATTTGAAAAGATGCCTGCTTTGGCGGTAAATGTATTTGTAGTGTAGTTTTCACTGTTTAATACGCTTTAAATACACAACATACTCACAGTTAAATACATTTTAAACACATGTATATAGATTTTAACATTCTTTTCAAATTACCGGCATACATGTTGATGTTTCTCTCACAATTATATAACTTAAACACTTCCATTAAGGTTATATGGCTTTATGATGTTCCCCCTGAGATTGTAGGACTTTTTAAGGGCTTCAGGATTAC